CCTAAAAAAATATAGTTTCACAAATTTTCAAGTTCCTAACCTACCTATTTTCAGAATAATCGCAGAAAAACGATTTAAAATTTTAACTTTCAACACCCTGTAGTTCCGAAACTATCAACTTTCGGATAAGGCATGTTTGCGCCAATGGTCACCATTTCACGTGTAGTATCTTCAGCTTTCGATTTTCCCATTGTTAATGAATCACCCTGTATACACTACAAAGTAAGTTACTTATAAATATGGGCCAACGGACTTAATCTCCTCAGGGTTTCTTCCGAAGAAGAGAAAGAAGGGTATGTCTCTCGTTAACGTTGAGCATTCTAAATCAAGGACGTGACAACCAGTCCAGAAATTGTTCAACCATTGACGACTGCATTGACGTCTTCTGAAAATCAAACTATTAATTAAAATGCCGTAACATCTAAACGCATCTAAACTACGTACTTAATTTCAAGATCAATGTTACTATATGTAGAGTTAAAAATACATATTTGGTTTTTTCCCATGGCCCTTTTTGGGAGAAACCGGAAGAAAAAGTACATTTACAATTTGACAGAAAAAAATGCAGAAAACCCGCCTTTCCAGAACTACTTACTAAATATTATGTACGTACTTTTATATTTCATTTAATTAATTCACAAATCAATAAATATCAGCTGATTTTTTATAATCAATAGTAATTGCCTGCAATGGCTGAAGACGACCACGGCGAGCTTGGTGCCTTGGGAGGGGGCTAGACTCAGCGCTGTTGAGCCTAGGGACCTACCTAAGTTCACTAAATTCATCGTATGGATTCCGGGTCATCCTGATGAACCGGAAACCATCATGCGCCGTCTGGAAAACCAGAACGGGAAATTGAGGACGGGGCCTGGAGGCTAATCAACCGCAAGGTTGAGGAGAAGGGCCAGACCCTAGTCCTCTCAGTAGATGAGATGAGTGTGAAGGTACTTCAGAAGGAGGGCTTCAGACCATTTCTGAACTTCACCAGGGTCCTTTTTAGGAACCTGGAGAAGGGCAGGGTAGATTTGGGACCTTCTGATGAAGATCAGGAGGGACCAAAATCTGTATTATCTGGTCAAATTCCAGGTAATACAAGCGAACATTCAGCACAGTAGAGCGGCATCTGCTGCTCTCTGTGCCAGTGTGGCGCGCGTAAATGCGGATTTAGCTTTGATCCAGGAGCCTTGGGTACATGGATCCCGGATCAGAGGATTGCAGGTAAGTAATGGTGGCTTACTGTATTGTGGCCACCAAACTAGACCTAGAGCTTGTATTTATTACAAGAGTAGTATTAATATTTTTCCTCTTCCAGGGTTCTGCACGGATGACCTGGTGGCGGCCGAAGTGACTTATGTATCGGAGGGAACGCAGAGACAACTGGTAGTTTGCTCAGCGTACCTCCCTTACGATAAGAAAGAATCTCCTCCAACCAGGGAACTGAGGGACCTGGTGGCCTGGTGCGAGAAGGAGAAGAAACAACTCATCGTGGGATGTGATGCTAACTCACACCATACGGTGTGGGGAAGCAGCGATGTCAACGATCGAGGTGAGTCTTTACTAGATTTTCTTTTTAGTTATAATCTAGAGATTTTGAATGTCGGGAACGAGCCCACCTTTGTTATAAAAAATAGAAGTGAAGTCATCGATATAACAGTGGGATCGGGACCGATATGTAATAATATTGCGAGGTGGCATGTGTCGAATGAGCCGTCAATGTCGGATCATAGACATATCCACTTTGAAATTATAACGGATTATAATCCGCAAGTAAGAACCTACAGAGACCCAAAAAGAACTGACTGGGACTCCTATAGAACGGAGTTACAGGCCAGGACTAGGGAAATCTGTACAAAACTAAGGAACACATATGATCTTGAGAGGGCCGTGGAGGAACTCCAAAACGCCGTCACAAGATCATATGAATACAGCTGTCCTATCAAAGTGAGGTCCGATAAGCACACCGTACCCTGGTGGAGCAAGGAACTCACGCAGTTGAGGGGACAGACAAGAAAACTATTTAATAGAGCAAAGCGGACAGGAGAGTGGGAGACTTATAGAGCAACCCTCACTGAGTATAATAAAGAAATTAGAAAAGCGAAGAGAGACTCATGGAGGAAGTTCTGTGAGGATATTGATAGTGTCCCACAGTGTGCTAAACTCCAGAGACTTCTCTCTAAGAACGGACATACGAAACTCGGGTCTCTCAAAGCACCGAGTGGGGAATATACCAAAACTGGAAGGGAGACATTGGAATTACTTCTAAATACTCACTTTCCAGGCTCCAGGTTATTAAATCATGGAGATGAATATGACTGGAATCACCAGCAGAGGGTAACGACCGGGTCTCGACAGAACTGGGAGGTTGCCAAGACGGTGGTGAGTCAGTCACGAATAAGATGGGCAATAAGTTCTTTTGACCCATTTAAATCACCAGGAGCCGATGGAATCCTACCTGTACTGCTACAGCAGGGGGTGGACTGTCTAGCTCCGGTCTTAATTCACGTCTTCAGAGCCAGCATTGCACTTGGTTATATACCGCTGGCATGGAGATCGACGAACGTGGCGTTTATTCCTAAACCAGGGCGTCCATCGTATGCCCAGGCAAAGGCATATCGCCCGATAAGTTTAACATCTTTCCTCCTGAAAACGTTGGAGAGAATAGTTGACAGGCATATAAGGGACGGGGTATTGAGGGCAAATCCTCTGCACAGGTACCAATACGCCTATCAGGCAGGCAGATCAGTCGACACAGCCCTTCATAGCCTAGTCTCTAGGATAGAGAGGGCAATGGACGACAAAGATCTAGCTTTGGCAGCTTTTTTAGATATTGAAGGGGCATTTGACAATACACCTTTCGAATCTATTAATTCGGCAGTTCGCAACAGGGGCCTTGAAGACACTTTGTGTCGTTGGATAGATACCATGTTGAGAAACCGGACAGTAACAGCTACCCTTTCGGGAGAGACATCCAGGTGTAAGGTAGGCCGGGGCTGCCCCCAGGGAGGCGTACTGTCTCCCTTGTTATGGGGATTAGTGGTGGACGGCGCACTGGAGGGCCTTAATCGAAAGGGGTTTTATACACAAGGCTATGCGGATGACTTGGTCGTTCTCATAGTCGGGAAACATAATATTATCGTTTCAGAACTCATGAAAGAGGCTTTGAAATGGATAGATGACTGGTGTAAGGGGCAGGCACTGTCAGTAAACCCTGACAAAACGGTCGTAGTACCCTTCACCAGGAGAAGAAATTTAACTGGACTCTCTGAACCTATAATAGGGGAGAGGGGCATTACATTTTCCAGGGAAGTAAAATATCTAGGAGTGATACTGGATAATAAGCTTACCTGGAATGCGCACTTGGAAAAAGTGGTGAGTAAGGCGAAGCAGACATTGTGTGTATGCCGCCGCCTTATTGGGAAAACCTGGGGACTGAAACCAAAGATGTCACACTGGTTGTATACGTCGATAGTAAGACCCAGGATTCTTTACGGCGCTGTGGTATGGTGGCAGAAAACACAACAGACCACAGCGAAGGAAAAACTGAATAGAATTCAGAGATTGGCCTGTTTAGGTATAACGGGGGCGATGGCATCGACCCCGACAGCTGCACTAGAAGTCATGCTAAATCTGCCACCGCTGCATATAGTGGTGGAGAGAGAAGCGCGGCTAGCAGCATATCGACTCAGGAATAATAATGACTGGAGGGGTGGTTCCCACTCCAGGATCAAAGATACATCTATGTCGGAACCAATTCTTGGGATGGTATCCGACAAGATGGTTCCAAAGTTTCACTTCCACAAGCCATTTGAGACTCGAATAGAGGATCAAAGCGAGTGGGAGGAAAGGTTTAATACCCTGGAAAGGTGGAGCCTAGTATGGTTTACAGATGGCTCCAAAATGACCAGAGGGACGGGTGCAGGAATATATGGACTCAGACCCAGATGGAGTGCAAGCTACAGTCTGGGGGAGTTCCCTACTGTATTCCAAGCAGAAATCTTCGCGATAATGGCGTGTCTGGCAGAGAATGTACGTAGAGGTTATAGACGTAAACTCATATATATATTCTCTGATAGTCAAGCTGCAATTAAAGCTTTAGCCGCACACAAGGTAAGTTCAAAACTGGTGTGGGACTGTTTACAAATGCTGACTGAACTGGCCACCAACAATACAGTCAGACTGTGTTGGGTGCCAGGGCACAAAGGCATTTGTGGAAATGAGAAAGCGGATGAACTTGCTAGGAAGGGATCCGAGACAGTGTTCATTGGCCCGGAGCCCTTCTGTGGCACATCTCCCAGTGTGGTCAGGCGGGCTCTGGGCAAATGGACAGAGACAGAACATAGGAAATACTGGACTTCAAGGCCAGGACATAGCCATTCTAAGGAGCTTATGGAGTATCCTTCGAAGGGAAGAGCGAATGAGCTACTGAGCTTGAATAGAATCCGGCTCAGGAGAGTGACAGGACTCATAACGGGACACTGTCACTTTAGGAAACATCTACATAAGCTAAAGCTTGTAGACAGTCCAGTCTGCCGAGGATGTGAATCAGCGGATGAAACTTCTCTGCATATCCTGGGCGAGTGCCCGGGATTTGCACGTAGCAGAATGACGCTCCTTGGGAGACCCTATTTGGAACCCAAGGAATTGAGAGAAGTGTCAGCAAGGAAGCTTTTGGACTTTGTAAACAGAACAAATCTACTTGCTGAATAGGACTAGTAGTGGGACGCACAATAGGCCTAATTAGGCCGCAGTGCTATGGGACTTTTTAAAGGACCAACCACTATATGAAGAAGAAGAAGAAGAAGAAGAAGAATTGCTACAGGTGTGTTCCTTTGTAGATTAGATAATTAGAAATAGACGGTTTCCTACTTATAAAAAATAGGTACTTTGTGTAATTTTTTTTTCATTATAATTAGGTAATCTATAACTATTCTTGGTATTATAAAATGAGCAAACTAATAATTGAAATATTGAAGAGATTAAATTATTTTACGTTTGCAAATTAAATCAAGTGCCTTAGAGCCATTTTCAAATACAACGAAATCAATCCTCAAGTGAATATACAACTCATTAAAATAAATTAAATATAGGCACGTTTCTACTAATCTCAACAACCAACAAAAACTTTTCAATTATCAGTTCTCCCTATACCGCACCGTGTCGAACTTTCCGAGGTAACTCTCCCATAAAAATCAAAACACTGGCGCACGGCCGAACCCTCAGTAGGACCGACTAAAGCAATATAACCAGGCGCATCCTTAGGGACACTGTTAACTAAAGTGCTCTGGTCTGCATAAAATTGCTATTCCCAAATCCGAACAATGAAACTAATAAATTAATTCGTGCAACTAAGAGGTCTGTAAATTTTCAAATTTCTTTTGTTTCTGGCCTACCACGTCAGAAATCAACGGAGATAAATGAAGGGGATATTTTATGCTTAAAAAGTTAATGTACAGGGTGTCTAATATTCCGAATTCACGCACAACCACAGATTATTAGATTAAAAATAAAACGATTCAACTAAACTTACTTCTAATAAAGTCTTTTCGTTCGTTTAGCTGCCTAAAAGGAGGCATAATTGGAAAAAATAGTTTTTTGAAGGGACTACAGTAATTATTTTTATAGAAACTGGAACAATTCCAGAACTTTTCATCTTTAGCAAATCGGTATTATTTCTAACGGTTCCTCTGCAAGTATAATATTTTATTAGTCACCATTGCATTTTCGATTCAAATTTGTCACAAGAAAAGAAATTGATAGAAATTTTTATACAACAGTAAATACCGATCTCTAATCTGTTCTTAATACAGGGTGTCCCGAAACTCATGCAACAAAATTTAGTCATAGATTCTTAAGACAAATTTAGGAGTCCCGTATTTTTTCTTTTTGCCAACTGGCCCCCTCTTTCGGAGTTACAGCCTCCTGAAATCTGGCCCTAAGAAGTATTTTTTATATCCCAAAACCATGTTGTACGAGAATCACTAAATCACAGGGGTTTTATGACATGTCGAATCTCACAGTGCTACGCTTTTTGGCGAGAAAGACACTTTTCCCCCTTAAGTCACTTTCTCGTGGGCCCCCTTGTCTTTGGAACCAGAAAAATTTAGTCGCAAATTTGTTTTTTTTAAATTATTAGTTAGCTAGAAAGCCATTGAATTTAGAAACTTTTTTGTCTCTTGATATTTGTTCCGTAAAACGCAATGTTTTTGAGGAAAATGGCGAATCACGCATATGCATTCGATCACATTTTGACATTTTTCTCGAAAACATTGCGTTTTACCAAAAAAGTATAAAGAGACAAAAAAGTTTCTAAATTTAATGGCTTTGTAGTGGACTGATAATTTTAAGAAATTTAAATATTCGACCAAATTTTTTTGGCTCCAAAGACAAGGGAGCCCACGAAAAATTGTCTTAAGGGGGTTCCCCGCCAAAAAACGTAGCACCATCATCAGATTCCACATGTCATAAAACCCCTGTGTACAAAATTTAGTGATTCTCGTACAACAGGGTTCTGATATAAAAAAAAAGATTATTCTTAGGGGAGGACTTCAGGGGGCTATAACTGACAAAAATAAAAAATACAGGTCTCCTAAATTTGTCTTAAGAATTTTGTTGCATGAATTTCATGACACCCTGTACATATATTTAAAATAAAAACAAGGTTCAAAGTTGTATACTAATATTTTCGCTATTAAATAAATATTAATTTACTAAAAATCTCCAACATGGGACAATAAATTACAATATTTTTTTTTACTGCACTAGTTATTGTAGATAACGATTACGAATCGCCGGAGAAGGAGGAGATTCCTTTGTCATTTAATATTTGTCATACCAATTTATCAAAAAACAGAGAACTTTATAGTAGTAATGATCGACAATTTCTCTGTTTTTAGATAAAAATAAGATTTAATCGATAGAGACAGAGAGAAAAATATAAGGATAACAAAGATCCACTGGGTTGAAATTTCGTTAAAATTATATTTCACTTGCGAATGTTGATGTCGAGAGAGATAGCATACGCAAGGGTTATTCACCCCGAATTCGTTCCTTGATTAATTGAATCTTTGAGTGTATTAGGCGCTGTTTTCTAAGAGACAATTCCTGTATTCAGTTGAAAACATTTAAAATATACATATAGCAATATCGAAAAATGATTTCTAGACTATACAATTATAATCTGACCCTAAACAACAGTTGGAAATTATCATTCTACAAAAAATTTATTGTGCCGATCATTAGGCAAAACTGAAACATTAGTTCAGATGACATCCACAAAATTTCATTTGTATTTAGTTTTACTGCATTAAATCATAACAAACATTACAAACTGTTTTTCTGTTTACTGGAAATTGCCCACGACGATAAAAATGTAATGTCTCATGGTGTACTCTGTAATCAGTCGCATTTAGTAATGTGGATTTTCCTACAATATTTTTCTCCCATCTTATATGCTGTTCACTTTACGGATCATTTTTTGCTTTCCTACCTAAATCCAAAGGAATTTTTTCTATTAAAATCGAACAGATTAAAACTGGGATAATCTTATAAAGGTATGAAAAAAATCCTTGACTTCCGG